GATTTCCCTCCCCCTATAAACTATATGACACTTCATGGGATTACATAGAGTGCCTAATTCCCGAATTCCTAGCGCCACCATGGGTCTCGAGCTGTCTGACCCATGAGGCCACGAGCGGTAGGGTTTTCGGTGTTCTGTTTTCCACACGGGGTGTGCACCTCATCCCAACATTCAGTCGGAACAGGTTTGTTTTGGGGTTGGCTCTCGGTAGGGTTGTGCTGGCGTTTTCCGTTTTCCCAGCCGCTGCAACATCCTGAACTCCCTGAACCGTCCTAGCATCTCAGCCGCTGAGGAATCTGTGGCTCGCCCCGGGATCACACCGCAAGCTCCAGGAGGCGCCAGGTTTGGGGTTTGGGGTAGGGGAAGTTGGTGTCTGGGGAGGTTTATTCTCCGGCCCTTCAGCTGTCATCCTCCATTCAACTCATGCAGAGTCGCAAGGTGATTTCGCAGCTGCGAGTGAGTTTCGGATCTATGGTTGTTTGAAGTTGAAGCGAACTGGAGGGCTTTTGTGTCTGGCCTGCATGGAGTCTACCTAAACCGTTTTTTCTTAAAACCTAAACCCAGGCTCTCGCAGCAGTCTAGAGTCTAGGTGGCTCTTGTCTCTGACCCCGGTTTGATCAGGATTCCACCTGGAGCCCCAATGGTTGCAGTCCTCCTATTTGTAATGAACAAGAATCAGAATCTTGGTGCCCCCCAAAGAAGTGCCAGAGGAGGGCTCGGCGTTTCGGGTTTTGGTTTAGGTTTTGGTACGACTTAGGGTTTGAACCTAGGATCACGAGGTGGGTCGCAGGGGGGAGCGATTCAACGAATAGCCGCCCAACGAAAAGTTCCGGCGATCCCAAAGCCTCAAAGCCTTGAACCCTAAAAAGCCCAAGAACCTTCAAAAGCAAAATCCCAAGCTCCGAGCCCTAGAGTGCAACCTGTTTTCTCCCCAAGCCGCTTAACCCCCCCCCCCCCGCCCACACCCCCTACAAAATCCTGGACTTGCGATTTGAGTGTTTGGGGTTCGGGATTCCCGAATGGGCCTTCCCGAACATATACGGCAAGAACTTTAAATCTATACATGCAAAAGCCCATAGCCCTAAACTCTCCACCCTCAGCCCTGAAGTGTTCTGCCAGGCCTTTCGCAAGTTTGAAGGGCCCATCGGTTGGCAAGCAGACACCATGCTGCACTGCAACTGTCGTTTCGGGTCGAGGGTCTGGGGTGTGTAGGGCTTAGTATAGGCCAGTATGGGCGGGTCTCAGCTTTTCAACACCACGCTTGGAGTTGGGACACGAATCTTACACCCCGAACAAATCCGAAACCTTAACCCATACGAGTTCACGAAGGGACGGATGGCGGGGGGGGGTGTAGGCTCAGAAGTTAAGGCTTTTGGGTTGGTTGTATAGGGAAGGCACAGGGAATTGAATGGGCTGACCAGTCTGCAACCCAAAATCTCAGAACGAGCACTGTCTTAAGAATGAGCTTTCAGCTCAGGTTTTCAGGCTTGCTGAAGAAGAGAGTTTCTGCAGTGTCTTGCATGGGAATGGCCAGGTGAGGTGGTCGATCTTCTTCAAAGAACCCGCATCTAGCAGCGACAGCAGACGTGCTACAGTGGATACTTAGGCCCCAAGAGGTTGTTTGGGAGCCATGTAGTTTCAGGCTCACGCATATGACGTGACGCTTTGTTTCAACTCAAAGCCCCTAAAGCCGAAGCTCCAAGACTCAAAACCCTAAGCCCCAAATCCGAAGTTCGACTTGGAGTGGTTGTGACGCCCCAAACCCCCTTTTCAGCGCAGTGTGGCTCCAGGACATCGCGGCCCGGTACCTGGGAGACGAGGATGGAAGCTCATGGGCAGACATGGAGGGACTCTTCACAGGACTCGTTATTTCCTCGAATATAGTCAAGCATTTGCTGAAGTTTGCCTGAGGGGTGTTGGGGACTTTGGGCACCCTCAACTGTGAGTCTTTGGGTTAGGCCCCTTCAATTGTAGTACCCTTATTTCCCAAACAATGTGCACAAAACTGCTTTTTCCCGGGGTTACTGCAAAAGCCTGGTTGCCTTCTAAGGCATCGGCTCTTACATCCAGCCCACATCTTGAACTCTAAGCTCCAATCTATAATTTAGCCCTTAGCCTGCTCTTAATGTTAAAACCCTGAACCCTAAACCCCAAGCTCTGAATCTTGAGAGGCGCCTGACATGGTGCCGGTGAGAGCGTCACCGGGCCAGGCCAAGCTGCCTTTGGGATTTAAGGGTTTAGGGTTCCGGCTTCACTGCTCTAGGGTTTAGTGTTGTAGTGCTTGAGCGGTTCGGCTTTAGGGTTTGGTTTGGGGATTCAGGGTCCAATGGCTATTGCGAGAAGGGAATAGGGATGAATAGGGCTTGCGGTTCGCCAGCGGAGGGAACGCTATGCTGGCTATGGCTTCCTTGGCAGGCCATCATAATGCACCACCAGACGATTCATGGTGTTGGTCCCAACCACGCGGACCAAGCGCGGGTCAACGTGTACTTTCGCGTGACAGCAAGCTTCTCGGCGGTTTGTGTTTTGAGGTTTAGAACTTGGGGTTTAAGTTTGCGGCGTAGTTCCCATTTCAAGAGAATTTCCGTATACAACTTTGCTAAACGGCAAGCCATATGTCTGTTCGTTCACTAGGCAATCTAAGCCGTAAACCAGCAACGAAAACCTAAACCCCCGACATCATAGGCCCTAAGCCCGAAACCCATCTAAACGTTAAACTGCAATCCTACACACTAAACTTCGGTTTAGCGTGTCGGAGGCATCCAGGCCTTGTCATTGTCGGACGTGTTTTTTTTGGGGGAGGGCGGGGAGGGGAGGGGGCGGGGGGGAAGGGGGGGCGGGGGGGAAAACGCCTGACGATTGCTTAGGCTCCAGAGTTTATGAGAAAACCAAGAAAGCCAAGCTGCTAATGAATCGCCCAAACCTATATAGAGCATGCTCAATGTCGTGCCCCGCAATTTTCCCGCCTCATCCACCCTAGAATCCCGGGTCTCCGATGGTGTAACCCCTCATCCCATCACCGTCTTGAGTTCAGGCGGCCGCAAGGCAGGTCAGAGCCCAGGATGTCTTCAGCATCGGCTGTCGGGCGCCACGTAAGTTTGCGTTTGTTGTACACCCTCCACCCTAAGCCGCAAAACAACAAAGCCAAGAAATCCTAAAGCAGCAGCAGAGGAAGGTCCACTACCCTGAAGCCATGCGGGACATCACCAAGGAGTCGCCTTTTCTGCGCGAGCTGGCCGCCAGACAGACGCGGAGGAGGAGAGCCTGGCGAACAGGTTAGTAGCTGATCTAGAAAAGGTAGAATTGTATTGAGGGTGGCCCTGAAGTACAGTACGTTGGCCATCTCAAAGTCTACAGGTCTAGGGCTTAGGGTCAGGACATAGCTAACCCCCCTGTTGCCGGGTTTCAGAGCTTACACTGTAGGGTTTACAGAAACCTGAACCCAAATCCTGCCGGGGAAGGTTTACAAGCCCTCAGCCCTAAACTCTGCAGGGCGTATCAGGGGATCGTAAACAAACCCTGAACCCTCGACTCTTTGAAAGGTTTGGGGTTGACAGCGCCCCTAGGCCGTAAAGCCCTCAAAGTCCGGAACCAACAGCCTTGACCTGGAAGCCCTTAAATCTCTCCCAAAACCCCAAACCTTAAACCAACCCTAATCCCCACCCCTCAACCCCGACTTGGCATTTGGAGCTTGTAAGGACTTCAGGTTTCCACAAAACTTGCGATCCAGCAGCTTTTGTGAAGATAAGTTGTGTGCTAGTTTGGAATGCATTGCAATGCGTTGCTTGCATGTTCCCTATTGATAGATGGTTGAACCCTGGTTGTAAAACCTTCGGAGTATACGTATGGCTGAACATGATAGGGTTTGTTGTGGCCCGCGAGCTTGTAGGGCGAAAGCCTCGTTCAAAAAGCCACCTCTGGTGGCAGATCAGCCGCAACACGCGATGCTGGCGTGAAGACCCGAAGCCCTCTAAGCTCTGTCGGCGCTTCACCCTAAACCACAAACCTAGCCTTATACTCCCAACCAAAAAGCATACCCAAGAGCCCTTGAATGACCTGCATATTTGACGTTAGTTCAGTTTGGCGTTCAATACCGTGAGAATGAACAAAGAGAAGCTCTGGGCTTTAGCAGGACATCGTAGCTCGCAGCTGCCCAGTTCCGCGCCACTGCAGCCGAAGACGCCGCGAGCCACGGCGGGCCAGGACGAGAGCGGCCAGCACGGGCCGCTATGGGGTTTACCGTCCCAAGTGCAGGGTTCATTTAGTCCCCAATTTAGGCTTAGGAGGCCGGCTTAGCACAGCTTGCAGCTCCAACGTGCTCTCCATCGTTGATTTTCCTCTCGCCTGATGGCCGAAGACAAAAACGCTCGCTTGACGGCAGTGAATAGGCTTTTGGAATTTGAGATTTAGGTTCGGGGACATTCGGGTCACAGCTTGTGTTGAGACTGAGGGGCGTGGTGTCTACACTGGCATCTTGATTTTACACAGGCCTGCCATTCTACTATCGAAAAGGCGGCGTTCAACTTCCCAGCCGTAGCCTCAATCCCTAAACCCTAATTCCACGCCCTAAATCTAAACTCTAAAGTTTTTAAAGCCCGTAAGTTATTTTAACCCCAAAATCCTCCACCCTGGACCTTGACCATTGATAACCCTTGATCCAAAGCGCCCAGCCACAAGGCCAGTCAACCTTCAGGACTTACTCTCAAACCCAAACCCCAAAAAACCAAAACACTAACCCTAAACGCCAAAACCCCAATCTTAAATCCCAATTCCTGACCCTAAGCCCCAAGCCCAGGCAAAAGAACAAAACAACAAACAAGATCAACAACATCGAACGCAATAAGAGCAAAGAGAACCTCACCTGACCTCAGAACCAGCTTCAGAGCAACCCTAAAGCTGAACACTACTGTGTACAAACCCAACACTGCAAACCCTAAAGCCCGTTGAACCCTCAACGCCCCCTAAACCAGCTAAACCCGCGCTGTGGTCACTGGGCTGAGGCCAAGGCACAGCATCCCCAGGCCCACGCTTCAGGGTTTAGGGCTTTGGAACCAGGGTTGGGGATTTTGGGACAAGAGTTTTTTAGGGTTTGTTGAGGACCAGCGTTTCCGGGTTGGCGTTCAGGGTTTTTTTGGGCGCAGGGTTTGAGGCTGAGTGGCGTTTCGTAGGAGCCCGACTTCCCATCTGTTTGAGGTTGAATTTAAGTCACCCACATGCAGTCACCATCGTTTAAGGATTCCGGTTCGGTTGTTAATTCCAAACCCTAGGACCGTGGTTTACGGTCAGGCACTCCGGTTGTGGGGGCCTGAAGGCATGTCTCCAAGTTCTTGTCCCTTGCGGCCGCAGTTGCAATCGTGGCTCTGATACTTTTCCTTGAACCCCAAGCTGCAAACCACAAGCCACAAACCCTAAACTGCCCTCGATGTCCACAGCCCCCAAATTCGGTCTGGCTGATGGCCTGAAAGTTGTCAATGTCCGAACGTCAAACGTATGGATTCTAGATTCTAAGAGAGAGAGAGAGAGAGAGAGAGAGAGAGAGAGAGACTCATGCCCCGTAGAAGAAGAAGCAGAGAAGAAGAAGCAGAAGAAGAATAAGAATCAGAATAGTAAGAAGAATAAGAAGAAGAATAAGAAGAAGAAGAAAAAGAAGAATGAGAGAGAGAGAGAGAGAAAAAAAAAAAAACTAGACGGAGAGAGCGATAGAGCGAGATTGAGAGATTGCGTGTGCATACACATACTGGAACTATGTATGGTGTATGCTTTGCATGTGTCTGTGAGGGCCCCAAACGTCTGTGTTGGGTCCGTGTTCGTGGGCCAGGGTTGGGGCTGTTAGGGATTAGGAGGTTTCCACTTTACTGTAAGGAGGTGTTCGGAGCTCGTGGTGCAAATGGCGCTTCAGGTCGTTTAGGGTTTAGCTAGATGAGCTAGCCCTGACAACACCAAACCATTTCATTGCCCATCATGAGAGTTTCAGGACCTCGGGAACCGCAAGAACCAAGGTTCAGGGCTAGATGGTTTCAGCCAATAGGCTTCAAAGTCTGCTGGATGATCTGTTTCTTCAACAACCAGGTGGCACTAAATGTTTACCTGGGAATGATAAGGCCCGCATGCACCAGGCATCCGCCACCAATCACCGAAAATCTTCTAGGAGCATTTGGACGTTTGTACCATTGCCGTTTTGATTAAATAGCTAGCTGCTAGGCTGCTTCTCATGTCACTTCTAGGGCCCAAAGCTCTACACTCCAGGTGGTGCTTCCGATTCATATAAGTATCCCAAAGCTTGGAAACTGCCTTTGAGTAACCGACGTGTACCTTTGTTTGAAAAAGGGAAATCACCCAGCACAAGGTATTTCGGGTATGCCCTAAAAACCCAAGGCGGTTCCTCTCCTGGCTGCTGTGGCCGACCATGTCGATGCAGTGGCAGGCCTGTTCCTAATGCTTATAGGCTTATAGCCTCGCACAACTCTATGCCGGTGATCTTGAAGCGTGGCTAAAGGGTTCATGGCGCACCCCGCCTCAACCCCATTCAGCCGCATGCAACCCCATGCAACCCCTCACCTTTCTTTCCCAAACTTCCCTGCATGCACCCTAAACCTATAGACTTTCTGCAAGAGCCAAACTGGTGAGCCGGCAGTCCTGCCCGAGGCAATGATGGGTCATTGCCGACCCTCCTTTCGCTACTTTACGTAAGACGGTTAGGAAGTTCAGGATGTATGGGTTTGGGATCCGCCAACGGAGTCAGTCCTTAAATCTGATGGGCGCCTATTACCCTATCAGAAACTGAGGCGTCTAAGCCCTCCAAACGCTAGCCTGCGAGGTCTCGAGAAATTCTCCACCCAGGAGCTGGTTAATCTTCTCAGCGCCGGGGGCCTGAAATCGTAAGGGTCTGGGGATAAGGGTTCTTTTGCCTTAGGTTTGGGGTTCAGCGTGTAGACGGGAGCTTAAGATCTTGTAAGAGTTTCCTGTTTACAGGGAACCAAACTCAGCGCGCTCGTGAGGAAGAGTTTATGTTCGCTAGTTATTGTTGCTCAAACATTGGTATGGTCTTTGGCTCAAAAATGACCTAAAGTCAAAGCCCTTGTTCGTATTCAGGCAGCTTAGTGCTAAGGGCATTAGGGTGGGCCTGCGTAGGACACCAGGCTTGATATGTGCATTAGTACCCTCATTTCCTTGTTGGAGTTAGGCAAGCATGTGGTTTAGTGTTTAGGGTTATCCCAGCAGCACCCCGACTCCTTGTTTTGTTGTTCTCGCTTTTGTTTGCCTTCGGCTTCTTTGAGCAGGGAGCTCTTGGTCAGTTTCAGTGAGTCGTGATCCATCGTTAAGTCACGTAAGATGTAAGCCTGTAAGCCCTCAATACTCTTCAAGAGGCACTTTGACCCCTCACAGAACTGTACACAGTGGTTCTAGGGTGATCTGGAAAAGCTCAGTTGTGCTTCGATTTTCGTCCCCGACCTGAAGCTGTACAAAAGGCTTACCTGGAGTGTTGCCAAAGGTAAAACGTTCTCCAGCGCTGAAGATACCTTCCACTTCGTTTAGAGGGTATAGATGCTTCTTTAGGTCCAGAGTAGTGTACTCAAAGAACAGATATCGATTCGTTCCCTTCTAGATGCTCTTCAGATTCCTCAATATTACTCACTTCTACGCGGTTGTCAAGCCAGTGCATCCTCGGAGCCACCCCCACACACTGGAAGCCATGGGGGGCAAGTGCGGCCAAAAGTTGTCGCATGAGGCCTTGCTGCCGGGATTCGGGGTTGATTGTTAGGATTACGGCTCCGAGGGTTTCAGGGTTTTAGGGATTACCGTTTGGGTTGAGAGAGCTTTGGGCTTTCGGATCTACAGCCCAAGGTGGGTTTAGGGATCGACCAAAGTTATCGTAGACTTGTAGACGTCCAGCGCCTAGTCTGATGACACGTCATGATCTCTATTGAGGCCTTCTATTGAGGCCTGCCCAGACAATGTCAATCACCAATGACAATGCCCCAAACCCTAACCTCTACAACCGGTATATTAATACAGGGCCGAGAAGTGACGGGCTTGGACTCCGGACAATCTATGGCTAGACGCAATCCCGAAAACTCCTAAAGCCCAGCAAGCCCCAGACCTTGCATACAGACTACGTAGGTGAATGGGGTTTTTCTGTTTTTCTTTCGTATTTAGGAACCACGTTCAGAGGGTTGAAGGGGCAAACCTGGTTGCAAGATGGCCCGCTATGCTTTGGTGCCCCGAAGAGGGGTCACAACTTGCCATCTGCTTGCCGAATCGTCTACAAGGGCAAATCTCTAAATGACGGTCCCTTGCGCGGCTCCGATTATCATACAGAGCCTAATTGTTAGGGCACCCATTTCAAGACCTTGCTAACACCCGCTTGTGGACCCGAAGCCCTCAGCTGTGGAGGTGGGTGGGAAAGTCCAGCTGGATGGGGCCTGGAGCTTCAAGGCCCAACTGAACGCCCCGTGTCAGCAATCTCGCGTGGATATATGGGTTCTGGGTTTAGGGCTGCAGGAGGGCTTCAGAGTTCGGTTACGTACCCTCAAGGGTTCCGTTCGCCCCAATAGCGGCGCAGTGAAAGTTCTACATCCTAGATCCTCCCAGGATGTGGCCGAGGAATATATACTTCAAAGGGATGCAGTGCAGGGAACCTACGGTACCGACTTTTTCAATTCCCTACTGGGGTCTTCTGGCACAGCGCGAACTGCTTTGAGGTTCCAATGCTTCGAGGGTCGTACGCCACGACGTTGGAATCTCTCGAGGTTTTCGCTCGGCTTTGGATGCCAAAACCCGGAGAGGCCCCAATAAGCCAATCTTTCAGGGGTCTTCGGGCAGTGTGAACCTGAAACGTGCTGTGCTGATTGTACTGTCCCAGAGTTTCGGCGCCCTGGCAGGCAGGAGATTGAATCGGTGCAGCATGCTAGCTCGTGAGCATAAACAGAAACGAAAAAGGTCTTCTGTTCTCGATCGTGAATTCCGAGGGCCCCTCTTGATTTGTTGAGGGAGCCCTCAACAATAAGAGAGCCTTTGCCTTTGTTCACAGCCATAAAGCCGCCTTCTCAGCGGGAAACATAGAAAGAAAGAAGTGTCCTGTTGTGTTTTAGCGGGAGTGCCACCGAAAAAGGTGACAGGAAAGTGTTACTCTTTGCTTTTTGCGAGCGAGGTTTTCACAATATAATCTCGAGGAGAAGGAGAGAGTTCCGCTTCTTCCGCATATCAACATCTGTTTGATGTGGGTTTTGGCAGGCAGATAATGTTTGTCCTTCGTAGAGGCATGGCTTCACATGAAGAAATGGCATCAGAGAGCCGCTGTCCAACCCACAACATATTTCTGATAATATAACTAAGATAACCTTTTCGGTTTGTCAACCATGCATTCAGAAACATATTCGCCGACACGACGGAGTTCTCCTGTGACGCATTGGGCAAAGATGCATCGGAAGCTACGTTGGGAACCGCAGACGGATTGCGAAGCCGCTTAACTTTGTTCCTTTGCTTGATCACATGTATATTGAAGACTAGGCCCTGGGTTCTGTCAACCAGGTCGAGGACCGGGAGTTGCAAACGTTGCATTCACGGGTTTCGGGTTTTAGGGGTTTGCTTCTGCAGGGCTTTAGGGTTGGCTGGTTCCTGGCATGCCCACAACCCCGAAACACGAAAACGTAGCGATTTAACGGGGTGTAGGGTCTACATTCACAGGAAAGTTTCCTGCGCAAGGGGTTTGAAGTGGTTCCTGGCATGAAACCCTAAACCCCATCCCCCATGACAGGACTTCAGCTTTCGGCAAAACTCTGTGAAGGAGGTGACCGACCGAGGCCGCGCAGAGGCGGGGGCTCGGATCTCTCAGAGGCTCCGTGCTTTAGAGTTTCGTGTTGTAGGTTGATGGTTGCGATGCAGATGCGTTCCCCTCAGTCACGTTAGTAGCTAGAACCCGTTGTTTTAATTTTCCCAGAGATTGAGTTGTTAAGAGGTTCTTTGGAGTGTCTGGTCTGTTGTGGGGGGGTTGGAGCTCTAATGCTTTACAGCAAGTTTTGAGTTTGAACGATTTAGGGTTTTGTGGGCTTCAGGTTCTGCAGGGTTTTTTGATTTGGGGTTTGGCTTAATCAGGAGTTTGCAGTTCCCTTCACGCTCCAAATCCCGGAACCACTTGAACGTTGCCAGATTGTGTCTCTCCTCTATGTATGTGTATGCACGCACGTGCTTGTTTACTTGGTCTCAAGATTCCACGAACAGTGAGTCCCAACTACGACCCGAAAACCCTAAGATAGGGCCCCGGAATTAACAGACACTCTAAGGCCAGATGGTCCCAAAAGACTTCCGTTCCTGCAGGGCATTGCTCGCCTTCAAAAGATCCTCCAGGACGTAGGGATTGGGGGTTTCCGGCTGTGAGTTTCGTGTACGCTGGCAACCAATTCGTGTTGCTTCTGTGCTTCACTATGGAACCTTCGAGTTATGAACATTTGGGAAAAGTTGGAAGTTGCACAAAACCTGATGCTTACCCGGAGGTTGAAACTAGCTCAACACCCAACCGCCTAGAATAAGAGCACTCAAGAAGCCTATGAGGGGCTTCATAACCTGTAGGTCTGTGGTGTCTCAGGCTTAACAAGCGAGTGCGCACGTCCGAACCCAAAAATTGGAAGCCCGTCCCTCGGAACCCCTAAGTTCCATGATTTACCGTAAGCCGTAAGCAGTACTGCATAACTACGGGGGAGGGGCGTGATTTTCCGAGAAGCTCGACTAGGAATCAACCCCTACACCATAGACCGTAGATCCTGCACTAGAACTTCCTTTTATGGTCTAGGGCATATACCTCTTAACACAGCTAGTTGGAAGAGCTGAGGGTTGCTTGTCCTCCACATCTCTATTCCCCCCCACCCCCTACTCGCCCAAGGTCCTCCCAAAATCAAAAAACGTCTCTTAGGCCTCATAATTAAAAGGGAGCCTTGGGGGAAAAAGTGTAGAGGGGTGATTGTAAGGGAAAGTTCTTGGAAGGACCGCTCTGAAGACCTGCCATCTGCCGCCAAGAAGCGGAAGGCCGGGTTTCGGGCTTGGGGGATTTGAAGGTTTTTGGGGTGTGTAAGTTTCGGGTTTTTTTAAGAATTACAGGGTCTGTGTCGGAGTTTCGATTGGGTTCCAAGCCTTGGGCTCCCGGAGCTCCAGGGCCTTTGTTTCCCGGGCCTTTTCGTGGCGCTTTCCGGAAGTTGCAGATTTCTCCCGGGCTTACGTGGCCTTTTCAGATTGGAGGCCCCCCAAGACTACAGAGCCCCAACTGATAGTTGAGGAGATTGACCGGGGTCTTTGTGACGAGGTCTCTGTTACAATATAATGGGGTGCCCACAGGCGAAAATACATCTGATTACAAAGCTCAAAATTCAGGTACGTGTCACGGGTGCGCACCCTGTCCCTATCTTTTGTGCATTTTGTCAGCTGATTAACACTCTACACAACAGGAGCCCATACAAGGAGCTCATTACGCTGAAGTGATGTACGCTGCTGACAGCTTCAATAAGTTCCTCCAGGGTTTACAAACGATACAATTCAACTAATTCGTGCAGAGCAAGACCTACAAACGAAAATGCTCAGATGAGTTCTGCAGGTTCCCCCCGCACACGGTGGATTTGGAATGGACAAGCCAGAAAGTCATCAGGACAGCCAAAGACAAGAACACATGGCATGGACGCAAGTTCACTTCGCCAGGACACATCTTAAGAGCTCCAGCAACCGACCCCATGAAGTAAGTTCTTTTCGAGCAGAGAACTCATGCACCGCGCATTGAATTTGCGCGTCGGGAAACCAAAGGCGAACTGGCTGATTGAGACCTGCAAAGAAGCTCATTCCATCTTATTCCCTAGTGGCTCCCCACATAGGTTTTC